ATATTGCTAAAAGCGGCATAAAACCATACTCGCTCACTCCCTCACTTAACCCTTTTGGTAAAAGCAACGGATACATGTATGGATCTGCCTGACCCCAAAACGTAATCAGATAGATTATGGGATTCGAAAACATGTTTCTGTTCGCCCAAGGGACGCTACACTGCACTGGGACCCCCCGCGGTTTAGACAACTGTGCCTCCCGTGCCTATAAGCTTATCACACTATGATGTAGCAGAAATATAGCACATACATCAGTGGTTTGTTAAGTAATAACCTGATTTGCTTCGAATGTGTTCAGGGCATTAAGTTTACCTGACAATCTACATTATATTGCAGTTTGGCGAGAGAAATTCACAAGTCTTTCATACTAGATAGAGCTTATACAAACCGTTTTTCTTACCCCTAACTGCGTTACGGTATTTCAAACACATGGATCTTAAACGTACTTACAACCACATTAAACCACGCGGCCAGGCATTGCGCTGACAGGCATCAGTGCGTCTTATACACCTTTTGAAGTGTTGGGGAAAAGGCTTGTGTGTCTTGTACAATAATGTTTGGTATATTTTACGTTCGAGTTCGATTACTGGGTTAATTTGTCACTATGCGCAAACAGAATTCCTGAGTCGAGTGTAGATGTACCGACTTGTAGATTCGTCATAAGCGTCTGAGAGAAGTTTCGAGAGTGAGTGAGTGAGTTTAGTTTTACGCCGCTTTTAGCGATATTCCAGCAATATCATGGCGGGGGGCACCAGAAATGGGCTTAACACATTCTACCCATGTGGGTAAGAAGTTTGGAGAGAACTCTCATTCTGGGATTCGTATTGATTTGAGAATATTATTCATATAACTGCACCCAGATTTAGAAGGCCATCATAAAGAAAGCTTTATTTTTTAGAAAATATCATATGGACTTGATGAATGTTCGAAATGGAATAGAATATACTGGCGAGTAAAAGTAAGTATGCTTGAAGGTGCCTGAGTGAGTGAGTGAGTGAGTGAGTGAGTGAGTTTAGTTTACGTCGCACTCAGCAATATTCCAGCTATATGGCAGCGGTCTGTAAATAATCGAGTCTGGACCAGACAATCCAGTGATCAACAGCTGAATCAATCTACGCAACGGGGATACGATGACATGTGTCAACCAAGACAGCGAGCCTGACCACCCGATCCCGTTAGTCGCCTCTTACGACAAGCATGGGTTACTGAAGATCAATTCTAACCCGGATCTTCATGGGTCAGTATTGTATAGGTTAATAAAGAGGAAAGTACGTTCATCATATCAATGAGAATCTTAACTCAAACATTCACATGTGTGAGAGAGCATGCTGAAAACATGCACGTGTGAGACTATAGATCGTGTCATCCACCTGTGTGAAAGATCATGTTGAACATACACGTGTTTAAGAGAGTTTGATTAAGTACACGTGCATGAGAGGGTATATTTAGTATGCTAGAGAGTGTTAGAGAGTATTCTGAACCCTGCACCTGTGTAAATGGGAATAGTGAAACATACGCCTGTGTTAGAGATAATGAAATGTACAAGTGTGCATGAGGTAATGCTGACACATACACTGTGTTTGAAAGTGTGCTGAAACGGAGTGAATAAATATTGCTTCACAAAGCTTCAGCAATCGTACAGCTATTCGCGGTGAGTGTGCTGAAACACACTGTAACGGTGAACAGTGAGACAACCACGTACATAGACGAAGCACATTCGTAAGCGACAGAATGCAGAATCGCTAGAGAAACTGCCCAAATACGCATGTTGGCGAAAGACAATGCTATACCTTCCATGTTCCACTATTTCCATTCCCAGGCGATTGGGGTATCCTAGTGGATAAAGCGTTCGCTCGTCACGCTGAAGACCTGAGTTCGATTCCCCACATGGGTACAATGTGTGAAAAACATTTCTGGTGTCCCCCGCCAGATATTGCTGGAATATTGCTAAAAGCGGCGGTAAACCTCACTCACTCAGTCACCCACTCTTTCCATTCCCGTCTCTGGCGTGTTATTGATGAAAGTGTTCGCTCGTGACACCTTGGTTCGATTCCTCACATGGGTACAATGTGCGAAACCCTTTCTGGTCTTCCTATGATTTTGCTGGAATAATGCTAAAATCGGCATAAAATAGTACTCACTCCTGCCATCCACAGCCACTAGAGTAATACAATCACGCCTACGGCCACGTTACAAGTGACTCACTCAGCCCCGTGCAGCGTTCAACCGCATCCTATTGAAGACCGGCTGATGATTGGGTCAAAATACAGATATATTACGAGCGCTTCTTTCCATCTTCACCCATCGTCAAGCTCACTGAACGCCTCGCTTGCCTGGCAATGACATGACAAGTCTGTTCACAGTGTGAAAGCAATTGCGGCGGTTGGTTGGCATTTTAATTCCATGTAACATGTAAGACACTAGTCTGTTACCTGGCATTATATTGTATGATGGACGGTGGGGTAGCCTAGTGGCTATTACATTCTCACGTCAGTATGTTCGACTCCAAGACGGGTACACCGTGTCTGGTGGTCGATGCTATGATTTTGTCATTCGTGACCCACTCGTGTTATTCCGGGACAAGCCGAATGGCGGTTACGGAAAGAGGCTAGTGGTGACGAATGTGATTTTGTAAGAATATTGGCGGAAAAATTCACTCACTCGCCAACTCATGTCGTATGAATGTTGGAGTTACTCCCCTTATCTTGGTTACCTACCTCGTCGTTGGACCACTGTTAACAACCATTTTCTTCTAAATTTATAATCTATTAAAAACGAATATGGATACAACGATTCATTAGCCGTGCCGGATAACTTTGCATATTAGTTTGACATGATTTTTACGTTTTAGTGCTATATTTAATGTAATCATAATATTTAATCTGATAAATAGCTCAAAGAAATTCCTCCTACAAAATACCCATCACACAAAATAAGGTGTTTTTCAATGAATCAGTGACAGTGTTGCGTCACTGAAATGGGTGCATTCGTCACCACTCGCCCATTTCCGTGTTGTCCCGGAATAACACGAGTTGGTCACGAATGAAACGAGCAGGGGAACGCACGTTCTGGTGGAAGCGTTCGTTAAATGTCGAACTCTTCAATGAGAAGCTGTCCGTGGTTGCGACAGTGTGGAGGGATCCTTTCGATGGTGAAGCAGCTAGGCGACTTTTTGGCAACTTTTAATCGCTCGGTATTAATTAACCACAAGTTCTTTAAGAACGAATTTGGTGTTCCGCTAAAGACTAACCACACGTCTTTCATATGTAGTGGTTAAAAGAGTACAAAAAAACAAAAGTTTATTTGTTCTTTAACATGCGTCGTCTTTTGGATTTGTGTAAGAGAAAGAATATGTGATTTGTCATTGCTTAAAGACCAACTGTGTAAGAAGAGTATTCACAACTAAAAACAACAAATGCTGGTATCGTTTATATTCATTGTAAAACACAAAGAATTATATTTTCAACAAGCACTCGATGCGAACACATATATGAGTGAGTGAATATGGTTTTACGCGGCTTTTAAGAATGTTCCAACATTATCACAACGGGGACACCAGAAATGGGTTTCACACATTCTACCCATGTGGGGAATCGAACCCGGGCCTTCGGCGTGACGAGCGAAAGCTTTAACCACTAGGCTACCCCACCGCCCCAACACATACTTAACGCTAATGTAGATTTGTGGACTTGTGGTAATCGAACCAGGGTTTACTGGGTCCCGAACAGACACTTTAACGACAAAGCTGTCCAACCACTCGACAACTTCCCACTGATCGGGTGGTCAGTCAAATACATGACAAATGTTCATGGCACTGGATTGTAGATTATTTACAGACCGTGTGGGATATTGTGGTTTGAACTCACCACTCACAGACCTAACATTATGAGGTGAGTTAAATCACAGCGTGACAGCTTGTGATGGACAGTTCCACTACCGTTAAATGCATAACCCTGTAATATATGACAGTGAGGCGTTGCTAGGTATATGCTCATCCTTCTGTCTATCGTCAGTTTACATCCTAAGGTTTAAAAAAATATCGTTTGGCAATCTCAAAATATACTCATCGTAATACTCGCCACATGACGTCACACATGGCAACGCAGACCGCGATAGCCGTAACTAAGGTCAGGCAGCATTAACAACACATCCCCACACAGATAAGTTGTTTTTTCATCTATCTCTCATTTCACGAAACACAACAAAAACACCACAACAATCAGAGATAATTACAGTCGCGATCTCAAGTGGGCAATTATTCTGTCATACGCAGCTCTCCCCGCAATATAACACCCCGTTGCATCAGCGATGGGGGAGGAAGGTGGGATGTTGCGTTCTTCCCAGGTAGGAGGTATCAGCGTTCAAACCGACCGTGTCATCACCTGCCTTCTATATTTATCCCCCCATCCCCTTACAGTTAACACTCTCAGGTGTACGTAATTTCCCGCCAAAATCGCTGCGGAAGCGAGAGGTGCTACAGCAGGAACCCACGTATTTGGTCATTGAAGGTTAAAAATAAACAGGCCTTAATTGCCTTTGTTAAAGGCATATCCGCGTCTGGTATATTATTTAAGGGTGTTATTGTACTGTTTTTACCTTTTCATCTCCTTTAGGCCCTAAATCAACAGCCGGCACCAATATTTCAAATGTTGATTCATATTCACCCATGTGTCAGCCGAACTATTTACCACCCCGCTTCTAAGAAAGTTCTATACCTTGAAAAAAAAATCTTTCCGGGGGAAATTTCAGGGAAAGGAAGTTACTTTGCTGTAGTTTTGTGTTTTTCGTCTTTGGTTCTATCTATTTTAATCTCTTAACGCCATCCAGCGAACCTTGCATTATGAATAGAACACAATAAGGAAGCCGTTGTTATATGAACGCATGCACATTTGGTGAAGATATGCATTACATTTTTTAAAATCTTGAACACATGTAACACATGTCTGACAGCAGACGATATGGGAACTGTATTCGGAGTCTTTTCTTCTTCTTTTCTTCAGATCAATGACACTCGCCAAAAGGTGAGCATGGAGATGAGAAATCACAAAGTGAGGCTGATCTTAGACTAATGCTTAGTCTCTGAATATATATAATTTTGATAGTAACAAACAATCCCATATAAATTGAAAAGGAGTCCCAGGGAGACCAGAGATTCAGAACCTGAGGAAATCTAGACTTGCTTGATTGAGGGCTTTGGCACTGCAGAGAGGCTTGGCAGTAGGGAAAATAATGTGGTTCAGGGACTGTGAGACAGACTAGGCTGATCTGTGTAGTCGTGATAACGGACATATACTGCTGAAAAGAAGTTCAGGAACACCCGATTTATGATTATTATGACTATAGTTAATCTTATCATCTCATGACGTAACAGATTAACTGTTGTCATATGAACACGTGGGGATGTCTTTTACTCCTTTGGGGTAGTAAAGTTGATTTTGGTTAAGCATTGCATGTAGTGTAACTTTGTGTTTGTTTGTTGTTTAACGCCGCACTAAGCAATATTTCAGCTTTGTGGCGGAGGTCTGCAAATAATCGAGTCTGAGCCAGACAATCATGTGATCAACAGCATGAACATCGATCTACGCAAATGGGATACGATGACGTGTGTCAACCAAGCTTAAGTCAGCGGGCCTGACCGCCCAATCCCGTTAGTCGCCTCTTTAGATATGCATTGGTTGCTGAAGACCAATTCTAACCCGGATCTTCAAGGGGAGGTGGAATTTTAATTTACTTCCACAACAATTCGCATTTGATTTTATATAAGTTTTAAGCGCAGTGGCTATTGATATGTGGTTTGACCTTGGTCCAGTAACGGAAATACGCAGTAACCAATGACGGATTAGAGAATCGTGGCTAAGGAATGGTCAGTTGTGTAGACAGTACTAAAATATCCCCAGAACCTGCTGATTCCTGGAACAGTTTCAACGAATCCCAAAGGAGCGAGTTGATTATATATTCGATTGAGTTCTCCGATTTAACCCATGTCATTGTACATAATTTGGCGGTGGGGTAAAGCGTTCGCTGGTCACGCCGAAGACCCGGGTTCGATTCCCCACATGGGTACAATGTGTGAAACCCATTTATGAAGACCCGGGTTCGATTCCCCACATGGGTACAATGTGTGAAGCCCATTTCGGGTGTCCCTCGCCGTGATGTTGCTGGAATATTGCTGAAAGCGGCGTAAAACTAAACTTACTAATTCACTCACTTCTCTATAATACTGCATAACGGCAGTTTCATCAGTTGTTGTTTTTCTAGTTAAGCACGTTCGGGTTGAACAGTGAATTCCTGACTCAGAGTAAACTGTGACAATAGCGTGATGGTGTCATAATAATCTTCGACAGTAATAATCTGGTATTCAATATGGACGGGGCAGCTGTGTCACTGCTTGGGATTTACGCAACTTAAAGGCGCAAACAGTTAACGATCACAGATGCGTGGGAAGAAGACGTCCCCGACCTGAATACAACATTCAGATCAAGCCAACAATTGTCACGTCAAAATCTAGACTAACCTTCAGTCACGGAAATCAAGATATGTACAAATACAAAATAATTATGTTAAGGAGCCTCGAGTATTAAAAACACTCACAATTCTGTGGATGATGAGAATAGTATACGGGAGCTAAGAAAGGGGTTGTTGTTATATTAAAAATGTTCTTGCTTCCGCGCGAGAGACTATTCGAAGTCTATTCTGTCTCACAGTTCCTGAACCACATTAGTTTCCCTACTGCCTTGCCCTTCCTGCAATGCTAAAGCACTGATTGGAGAAAGTCTAGATTTCCTCAGGTTTTGAATCTCCCATTTCACTGCTACTCCTTTTCAGTTTAAATAGGTTTATTTGTTACCATCAAAATGATATATATTCAGAGACTAAGCGTTAGTCTATTCGAAGTGCTACTGTTGATGAGGCGACCAATCCGCCCACGGCTGTTAATAACATTGCTGCCAGTGAAAGCGATTGTGCTCTGTGATTGAGAAGCCCAAGTTAGAATCATTCCGAAAACGTACAAAGATATATATCTTTACAACAACACACACACATGCGCGCACGCACGCACGCACACACACACACACACACACACACACATAGAGTACACTTCATTACCAGTCCGGGGAGCTACCTGCCTCCCACGGGTAAACAAGATGATTTGGCTGTTGTTTTCAACACATTATTTCGTTTTATCGATTTTTTTGAAGGTGAGGCTCAGGTTGCTCCACGGGAGGCGTTTAACACCTGATCCATCCCTCTCCTTGATGGCTTTGTCTCAGGGCAGTTGTATAATGGCGTTGACGGTCGTGTTATGTGGATCTCCGACAACAGAGGATCTCTCATAACAGAGTATTTACGGACATGTTTACAGGTCTGTCTTACTAAACCCGACCTCTCGTGTAATGACATGGTAGGCGCTTTACAGCAGTGGTGGTTGGTTAGTTGTTTAATGCCGCACTCAGCAACATTCCAGCTATATGGCGGCGGTGTGTAAATAATCGAGTCTGGTCCAGATAATCCAGTGATCAACAGTATGAGCATCAATCTACGCAATAGGGATACAATGACATGTGTCAACCGAGTCAGCGAGCCTGACCACCCGATCCCGTTAGTCACCTCTTATGGCAAGCATGGGTTGCTGAAGGCCAATTCTAACCCGGATCTCACGGGTTTTATAAGAGTAAAGAGTGACTGTTTTGTGGTGTTATACTGTACGGCTACTCGCTTTTGTTATAATACAATGAAAATTAGCACATGACTATTCACTAGGGCTCTAACGATGCATCGAACTATCGATGGATTGCAATTGTTGAGTCCCCGATAGCAATTATGAGATGGCAGAAACGAAAAACTATCGATAGTATGTGTGACTATCGATAGTTTAGTACATTGACTTCCGTTGATAAATTCGCGGCGCAAAATACAGGATGTTTGGGTGCAGACTTGCAGCTTCACTGAGTTTATGTTTTAACTGATTACTTGATCTGGGTTTGAAGTTTCTTGTCAGTTATTAACTTCAAATGAGACATCAAGTAGATTGCAATAGTTGGTCGCAATAGACTATGGCTATCGCAATAGTTGTTTCCCCTTAATAGTCACCCCTATTCGCCAGTACATATTCGCCATTGTTATAACATGTGTCTGTTTATCATTGTTATACCATGTGAGTTCTCCTGTTATAATATATAACATTGTTGTTTGCTATTGCTACAAATATGCTGCTCACTCTTGTTAGATCATATATATCTACTCTGTTACAAAATATGTCTACTCATCAATGTTATAGGGGGCGGTGGCGTAGCCTAGTGGTTAAAGCGTCCGTCCGTCCGTCACGCTGAAGACCCGGGTTCGATTCTCCACCTGGGTACAATGTGTGAAGCCTATTTCTGGTGTACCCCGCTGTGATATTGTTGGATTATTGCTAAAGCGGCGTAAACCTAAACTCACTCACTCACTCACTCTCCAAACTTCTCTCTGACACTTATGACGAATCTACAAGTCGGTACATCTCAACTCACTCACTCATCAATGTTATAAACTATTGATTGTCATATTACATGGCTGCTCGCTATTATTATAAAACATTGTGATTCATGGTTGTGATGGCATGTGTCAAAAAGTCAGCGAACCTGACCACCCGATCCCGTTTGTCGCCTCTTACGACAAGTATGGGTCGCTGAAGACCATTTCTAATCAGGTCTTGTATAACAAGTGGAAGATAACACAAGCAGAAAACCAGAACGTTGCTCACTATGAGGGTTGGTTCCATTTGAATAAGAACACCCAAAGCTGAGTGTGTGTGGGAGCTGAATACCTGGAAGGTTTTACCTAATATATATGAAGGTATTCTTGATATGTCATATGAGTGAGTTTAGTTTTACGACGCTTTTAGCAACATTCTAGCAATATCACGATGGGAGACACCCGACATGAGCTCCACACTCAGCTTTCGGTGTTCTTATTCAAATGGAACCAACATTCATAGTGAGCACCATTTTCATTTTCAGAAACGGAAAAGAAGCAAGTCGTATTCAAGTACAATGTACGCCATTGCCTTGCTGTCAACGAAATGTAATTCAATTGATGTCGTGGTACCCGTTCCCGGTCAAACAATGGCTGGTAAATGTAATATCATTAGTAAGGAGCTACAACGTCCCTCCGTAATGTTAGTTTAAACATATACTCATGCCAATAATGGTTGTCACCCCCTTCAATTCTTTTAATTGGAGAGGGTGTGTGGGGTAGGGGTATGAGGTGTGGGGGTTGGGGTGGGGAGGGGTGACAACCATTATTGGCATGAGTATATGTTACTGATAATGACAAACAATAAGCAATAAGTTTCTGAAAATGAAGGCTCGATTTTTGGCTGTCCCTCTGTCAAATGTCTTTAACCAATCCCTTTCTGAAAATACCTTTCCTCAAGTTTGGAAGGAAGCCTCTGTCGTCCCTATTCACAAAAATGGTAGTATTAATGACTGTTCCAATTATAGACCCGTTGCACTCACAAGTTGTCAGGCAAAAAAAATTGAAAAGTGCGTTTTCAAACACGTATTCAATTATTTCAGAGATAACGACATCGTTTCTAATCTCCAATCAGGATTCAAACCAGGCGATTCTACTGTTAATCAACTAACGTATTTATATGATTTCATTGCCGGTGCGGTAGATAAAGGAAAAGAAAAAAGAGCAGTATTTTGTGATGTAAGCAAAGCATTCGACAGGGTTTGGCACAAGGGTATCATTCATAAATTAAAAAGATATGGTATAAAGGGTAATTTGTTAAAATGGTTTGAGAGTTATCTTGAAAATAGAGAACAACGTGTCGAAATTAATGGATTTAGATCTGATAATAAAGCTGTTTTGCTGGAGTACCCCAGGGTTCAGTATTGGGACCGCTCTTGTTTATTGTTTATATAAATGATATAGTTGAAGGTATAAATAGTAATATACGCCGTTTTGCGGATGATACTTCTTTATATGCGATCATTGATGATCCTGGGGTAACTGCTATTGTAATGAACGATGATTTACAGCGAATTGCCGAATGGGCAGAAAAATGGCAAGTATCTTTCAATCC